CATTTTCTGCATATTTGAACCCTTTCCAACATTGACTGTATGACTTTGAAATCCATCTTTTAACACTGAGGACAATTGAGGGACTTATGCATAACTATTACAAAAAGTGAAAACATGTACTGATGCTCAAGAAGGCCACACAATGCATTAAGAGACGGTGGGTGCACTCTTGACATTTGCCATTAAAATAATGCCAAAAACAGCCTCAAATGAAGTATGAAAACGAGAATAAAGTTGTACAAGCTGCAATCCATGTCTTATTGGTTAAAATGAACGGAGACTATCTCGTGTTTTTCCATGGGGATCGGCGCCTACGCAATCAACAACTGACGAATAAACTCAAGTCCTGGCCTACGTTTTTCCTTAATCGATAAACGGCTTCACAATGCAAGTTGGCTGAAGTTTCTATTTTCTGCCAATTTTAAATAAGACACCACCACTGGTTTTGCCAAGCACTCGCTTCAGCTTTTCTGGCCTTAGACGTGATCTGAGAACAGATTGTGGTCTGTCTTTTGCATGGGCTCAAACGCAAATTCAGGCAGGAGAATGCAAAAATGAGGTCAGGGTTAAAGGACCTCTTCCCACGCTAACCCAGGGCGATTGAGAAAATGCATTAACACGATGCACTTCAACATGAGGCGAGAGACAGAGTGAAAGTGATCGTTTAAAAAGAGACACACTCTTCTTCCAGCAGCACACACACACACACACACACTGTACTATCTGGCCACTTTATACAGACGACATGCCGCTCTTTCCAGATGAAAGTAGCACAAAGAGGGACGGAAAAAAGAGAAACGGCAATGAGCTCGCTCACCTTAACCTCAGGACCATGTTCACCGCTCCCTGAGCGCTCGAGGGTTTCTCCAACGGTTGAACCTGAACACAAACACACAACATGATGGTAAGTTGCTTGCTTTTGCCGAAGTGTTCAAGATGTTGAGGTTAAAAGATCTTTACACAGCACGCGCTGCTGCTTACGGTCTTGAGGAAATCAGGTTTTTACTGGATATGTGAAGCAAAATTACTCTAGTCAACTCATATTATGACTGAAGCGAGGCAGAAAAATACTGAAGCTAACAGTGTCAAACTCTAATTAGCATATAAGTACATAAACACACATTTTCGGTAAAACAGTCCATTTTTTATTAGGAATCCACTAAATATTGGTACCATACCATATGTTATCAGTAAAAATTACAAATCTTTTCATTTATTTTAATATAACAGCTGATAATGGATATCTATATTGGCCAGTATTGGATATTGAATTTTGCATTTGCATTTGCATTTTTTACATTTAGATTACCTTTGAAGCCATCTAATGCTCACTAAAAATCTGTGTTGTTTTATCGACTATAAAACTAAAAAAAAAAAGTCAATAATTGAAATAAAAGAAAATATAAATATTAGATGAAAAACTTATAACTAAATAACTAATATATACTTATAACTTATAACTATAACTTATAACTAAAACTTATAACTAATCTAAATAGAGATATAGAAACAAAATGATGGATAATAGAGCATAATATATATAAAAAATAATAAAAATGACAAAATCCCATAACAAAATTACTAAAAATTAAACTAAAATAAAAATGAAAAAACATTTTTTTATATTAAATACAATAACTAAAAGCAATAGTTAAAAAAAAACAATAATCTTAAGCAAATCTTAAAATGAATATGCATTTTTCATACAGTATATTATAATGTTGTGATGCAAACATGTACTTATGTACTGATTTAAAATGATTGATTTCTAGTATTTAGTTAAATTTTTTTCATTCACTCAGGCAAAATAGTATTTTAATTTTAACATTTTTATATCAGCCATGTATTGTTATTAGCCATAACAAAAGTTTAATAATGGTGCATTTTTTTATTTGAATAAACTAAGCTATTTATTTTAATTATTGATGTTAATCAACATTTCACTTTGCTCAGGTTCATCAGGTTCTGTCACAATGCATCAGGTTTATATTATCAATAACTAAAATTAAACTTAAAAGTTGAAAAACTAGAATTACTAACTTTAAATAAATAAAAACTAAAACTGAACTAAAAATAAATTAAACCTAAACAGTAATGTTTAAAAAAACAACAACAAATTTGAAAAATTAGAAAAACACTTTAAAAGTTCCTAAAATTTTTACTAAAATTAAAACGAAAACTGAAAAAATAACAGCGGATTTAAAATATTAATAAAAATATAATAGTATAGCAACGCTCTGGTATAATAGTGCCTTCTTCACAAAGGATAAATGCAACTGAAAGAAGCTATAGTCTTTGTGTCCGAAACGCAGCTCTGATGCATTAAAATGCTCCCTACGCAGATGGCTCACTAGGTTTTGGAGACCAGAGACTCTTTTCCAGATGCTGCAGCAGGCATTCACTCTCACTCTTTATTTGAAATATTAAGTTGAATAGGCTCCCTCAAGGCAGTCGGCCCCCAGGGTCGTGTCCAGACCGCCCAGAGACCAGCCGCCTCACAGCACAGAGCGTCAGAGCCACCGAATCAAGACAAATCACAGCAACATTGTCAGCGCCGGCCGGGCCTAACCTGGGGATGCTGAATGGACAGGTCCTCTAGCGGGAGACTGTTAGCGTTCACTTCACCCTGCAGAGGAAAAATGGAGTGCTTAAGAGCAAAGGAAGGTACAGAAAGACATCTCTCCACCCCTCATTGTTTCTTTTCTTTCCCTCCAAGGACACTTCTTCAGCAGCTGGGGAAATGGGTTTTCTACAAGCTCAAAGGCTGAGCTAAAAGTCATGGCATTTGGTAATCCAGTGGGAGAAAATATGTGTGGAACATGGCTGTGTGCACTCAGACAGTAGGAAATAAGATCTGTGTTTGCGCTGCTTAATTGCTATTTGTCCAATACGGTCGAATAGGTCACACTTGTTAATTATTTAATACGCAGTTTATTAGGCAAACAGCGCAATCCCTCGATACTCTCAATTAAATGATCAAACGATACTTCAGTCGTTAATTAAATCTATTCACAGCCAAACATAGTCAGTCAAGCCCCCTGTGTCTGAGATCATATTTACAGCATTTACAGTTTACAGCTGTAGTGCAAATCCAAAGACAACATGAAATAGGAATCATGACCTATTTTACTTCTGTAATATCACATACACATACGGGGTTTTAAAAAGATTTTCAATGTTTTTGAAAGAAGTCTCATCAAGGCTGCATTTATTTGATCAAAAATAAAGTGAAAAGCATAATATTGTGAACGAACAGTATTAATTTGAAACAGAATTGTTTTGTAGTATTACAAATGCCTTTAATGTCACTTTTGATCAATTTAATGCATCTTTGCTGAATAAAAATCTTTTTTTTTAAATCATACTGACACATTGCTATGCACTTGCTAGGGTGTTTTGGTTACCTGGACATTCGCTGCTAGGATGTTTTGGGCGTTGCCTTGCATTTTACAAGAATGTTTTGGGTGGTTACGAGGGCATTGTCATGTGTTTTACTAGAATGTTTTGGGCGGTTACCAGGGCGTTGCCATGCGCTTTACTAGAATGTTTTGGGCGGTTACCAGGGCGTTGCCATGCGCTTTACTAGAATGTTTTGGGCGGTTACCAGGGCGTTGCCATGCGCTTTACTAGAATGTTTTGGGCGGTTACCAGGGCGTTGCCATGCGTTTTACTAGAATGTTTTGGGCGGTTACCAGGGCGTTGCCATGCGTTTTACTAGAATGTTTTGGGCGGTTACCAGGGCGTTGCCATGCGTTTTACTAGAATGTTTTGGGCGGTTACCAGGGCGTTGCCATGCGTTTTACTAGAATGTTTTGGGCGGTTACCAGGGCGTTGCCATGCGTTTTACTAGAATGTTTTGGGCGGTTACCAGGGCGTTGCCATGCGTTTTACTAGAATGTTTTGGGCGGTTACCAGGGCGTTGCCATGCGTTTTACTAGAATGTTTTGGGCGGTTACCAGGGCGTTGCCATGCGTTTTACTAGAATGTTTTGGGCGGTTACCAGGGCGTTGCCATGCGTTTTACTAGAATGTTTTGGGCGGTTACCAGGGCGTTGCCATGCGTTTTACTAGAATGTTTTGGGCGGTTACCAGGGCGTTGCCATGCGTTTTACTAGAATGTTTTGGGCGGTTACCAGGGCGTTGCCATGCGTTTTACTAGAATGTTTTGGGCGGTTACCAGGGCGTTGCCATGCGTTTTACTAGAATGTTTTGGGCGGTTACCAGGGCGTTGCCATGCGTTTTACTAGAATGTTTTGGGCGGTTACCAGGGCGTTGCCATGCGTTTTACTAGAATGTTTTGGGCGGTTACCAGGGCGTTGCCATGCGTTTTACTAGAATGTTTTGGGCGGTTACCAGGGCGTTGCCATGCGTTTTACTAGAATGTTTTGGGCGGTTACCAGGGCGTTGCCATGCGTTTTACTAGAATGTTTTGGGCGGTTACCAGGGCGTTGCCATGCGTTTTACTAGAATGTTTTGGGCGGTTACCAGGGCGTTGCCATGCGTTTTACTAGAATGTTTTGGGCGGTTACCAGGGCGTTGCCATGCGTTTTACTAGAATGTTTTGGGCGGTTACCAGGGCGTTGCCATGCGTTTTACTAGAATGTTTTGGGCGGTTACCAGGGCGTTGCCATGCGTTTTACTAGAATGTTTTGGGCGGTTACCAGGGCGTTGCCATGCGTTTTACTAGAATGTTTTGGGCGGTTACCAGGGCGTTGCCATGCGTTTTACTAGAATGTTTTGGGCGGTTACCAGGGCGTTGCCATGCGTTTTACTAGAATGTTTTGGGCGGTTACCAGGGCGTTGCCATGCGTTTTACTAGAATGTTTTGGGCGGTTACCAGGGCGTTGCCATGCGTTTTACTAGAATGTTTTGGGCGGTTACCAGGGCGTTGCCATGCGTTTTACTAGAATGTTTTGGGCGGTTACCAGGGCGTTGCCATGCGTTTTACTAGAATGTTTTGGGCGGTTACCAGGGCGTTGCCATGCGTTTTACTAGAATGTTTTGGGCGGTTACCAGGGCGTTGCCATGCGTTTTACTAGAATGTTTTGGGCGGTTACCAGGGCGTTGCCATGCGTTTTACTAGAATGTTTTGGGCGGTTACCAGGGCGTTGCCATGCGTTTTACTAGAATGTTTTGGGCGGTTACCAGGGCGTTGCCATGCGTTTTACTAGAATGTTTTGGGCGGTTACCAGGGCGTTGCCATGCGTTTTACTAGAATGTTTTGGGCGGTTACCAGGGCGTTGCCATGCGTTTTACTAGAATGTTTTGGGCGGTTACCAGGGCGTTGCCATGCGTTTTACTAGAATGTTTTGGGCGGTTACCAGGGCGTTGCCATGCGTTTTACTAGAATGTTTTGGGCGGTTACCAGGGCGTTGCCATGCGTTTTACTAGAATGTTTTGGGCGGTTACCAGGGCGTTGCCATGCGTTTTACTAGAATGTTTTGGGCGGTTACCAGGGCGTTGCCATGCGTTTTACTAGAATGTTTTGGGCGGTTACCAGGGCGTTGCCATGCGTTTTACTAGCTATGCATTTTACTAGGGTGTTTTGGTGGTTACCAGGGCATTGCCGTGTGTTTTACTAGAATGTTTTGGGTGGTTACCAGGGTTTTTGGGCGTTGCCTTGCATTTTACAAGAATGTTTTGGGTGGTTACGAGGGCATTGTCATGTGTTTTACTAGAATGTTTTGGGCGGTTACCAGGGCGTTGCCATGCGTTTTACTAGAATGTTTTGGGCGGTTACCAGGGCGTTGCCATGTATGTTACTAGAATGTTTTGGGCGGTTACCAGGGCGTTGCCATGCGTTTTACTAGAATGTTTTGGGCGGTTACCAGGGCGTTGCCATGCGTTTTACTAGAATGTTTTGGGTGGTTACCAGGGCGTTGCCATGCATTTTACTAGGGTGTTTTGGTGGTTACCAGGGCATTGCTATGTATTTTGCTAGGGTGTTTTGGGTGGTTACCAGGGCGTTGCTATGCATTTTACTAGGGTGTTTTGGTGGTTACCAGGGCATTGCCGTGTGTTTTACTAGAATGTTTTGGGTGGTTACCAGGGTGTTGCTATGCATTTTACTAGGGTGTTTTGGTGGTTACCAGGGCATTGCTATGTATTTTGCTAGGGTGTTTTGGTGGTTACTAGGGCATTGCTGAGTGTTTTACTAGAATGTTTTAGGTGGTTACCAGGGCGTTGCTATGCATTTTACTGGTGTGTTTTGGGTGGTTACCAGGGCATTGCCATGTGTTTTTCTAGAATGTTTTGGGTGGTTACCAGAGCATTCCTATGCATTTTACTAGGGTGTTTTGGATGGTTACCAGGGCGTTGCCATGCGTTTTACTAGAATGTTTTGAGTGGTTACCAGGCCATTGCTATTCGTTTTACTAGAATGTTTTGGGTGGTTACGAGGTTGTTACTATGCGGTAGCTAAGGTGTTTTGGATGGTCACCAGGGTGTTGCTATGCATTTTACTAGAGTGTTTTGAGTGGTTACCAGGGCATTGCTATGCGTTTTACTAGAGTGTTTTGGATGGTCACCAGGGTGTTGCTATGCGTTTTACTAGAGAGTTTTGGATGGTCACCGGGGTTTTGCCATTTTGCTAGGGTGTTTTGGTGGTTACTAGGGCATTGCTGAGTGTTTTACTAGAATGTTTTAGGTGGTTACCAGGGCGTTGCTATGCATTTTACTGGTGTGTTTTGGGTGGTTACCAGGGCATTGCCATGTGTTTTTCTAGAATGTTTTGGGTGGTTACCAGAGCATTCCTATGCATTTTACTAGGGTGTTTTGGATGGTTACCAGGGCGTTGCCATGCGTTTTACTAGAATGTTTTGAGTGGTTACCAGGCCATTGCTATTCGTTTTACTAGAATGTTTTGGGTGGTTACGAGGTTGTTACTATGCGGTAGCTAAGGTGTTTTGGATGGTCACCAGGGTGTTGCTATGCATTTTACTAGAGTGTTTTGAGTGGTTACCAGGGCATTGCTATGCGTTTTACTAGAGTGTTTTGGATGGTCACCAGGGTGTTGCTATGCGTTTTACTAGAGAGTTTTGGATGGTCACCGGGGTTTTGCCATGCGTTTTACTAGAGTGTTTTGAGTGGTTACCAGGACATTGCTATGCATTTACAAGGGTGTTTTGGATGGTTACAAGATCGTTGCTATGTATATTTCTAGGTTGTTTTGGGTGGTTACTAGTTGGTTGCTGTCTAGCCTGGACCAAAGAGTCCATACAAGTTTTTATGATATTCTTGTCTATAAATATTGTCCTGGTCCTTCCTTCAACATACGTCTTTTATTGTCTGTTTCATTTTTCTAATAAAAATAATAGTGCAAATTATATATCAGAAAGATTTTATAAAGGCTGCAACCACTAAAACAATAACTAAATATCTATTTTTCTCCTGGTCAACATTAACCAACAGCCTGTACTGCCGAAAAAGTAAGTTGTTTCAGAAACGGAGCAAGTTTTGATGAAAGACAAACATTACTGTACTTGCACTGAAGAATCATTCACATTAAGACAGTAACGTGCATTACGTAAAGTAAAGAGGGACAGTTTTGATTTCATGTTGACACACTCAAAGCAGCGATGCATTACCCCACACAGCTAATTAAAACACACACATTCTGAAAGGTAAAAGAGAGAATGACTGTAACTTACATGCTGGTTTTCGTCTTTGACCCTGCGTGACTGCAAAAGCAATAACAAGACAGGATTCAATTATGTTCTCGCTCTCGCACAAAGTACGACAGACAGATGTAGCTATTTGTGAGGGAGTGCAATCAGCACTTGCTCATTTGCATTCCATAATAAACAATAAACACAAGAACAACGTCTCCAGCTTCATTAGCAGCCGCTGATTTGCGGACGCTTCGCTTCGGGGGCTCTGATTGTTCCTTCCTGTCGGAGACGTTTTAGCATTATATATTCCACATTTCTGAGAGAAAAAGGCCCCTCGGCTTTGATCAAATGGTGTGCGTCACCTGTATGGTACAGGCAGAGAGTTTATGATAAAATACTAAGAGAGCTTGAGGTGTGCTGCTCGGCTTTACATCAGAGAAAGTGCAGTTGTTCAAATCTCATATGTGGGTTAAATGCAAATTCATACCGAAGGCATTATTTTTACAGTAAAGTTCAAAACTCTGCAAAATGTACACATTTTCACTAGTGGTCTCAGTTTTTCAACTGAATGCATTACATCTTCTGAAAACAAATGATAAATTTGTGTGAGAAACAGACCATAATTTAATGTTATCAATTATCTACTGTTAAACACTGCTACTGGATCATTCAGCGAGTCTGATTCATGTCTGATTTAAATCATTCAGATAAACTGATTCATTTAAAAGATCACACTCAAAAGAGATATTCGTTAATGAATCAGTTCAAAGTCAGTATGTTTATTACACAATATAAACATATAATTGTATATATATGATAATGTTTTAAATAATAAGTTCAAGTTCAGTCTGTTTATCACACTAAAATATTGTATGATTTCAGAAGGTGTGTAATATAAAGTAAATGATATAAAAATATTTATAAATAAATGTATATTTTTTAATGAATAAACATTTTAATTAATCAGTTCAAGTTCAGTCTATTTATTACATAAAAATACTGTATATGACTTCAGACGGTATGGAATATAAAGTAAATAATATATTAATATTATAAATGAATACATTTTTATAATTTTTTTTAGAAATAAACAATTTCATTAATTAGTTTAAGTTCAATCTGTTCATCACAAAAATACTGTATATGACTTCAGAAGGTATGGGATATAAAGTATATATCCCATATTTTTTTTTATGGGATATAAAAAAGTATTTTTTATATAAAAAATAAATATTTCTGAATAAATACATTTCTCTCCCTCTCTCTCTGCATATATATATATATATATATACTGTTCATTACACAAAAATATTGTATGACTTCAGAAGGTGTAGAATACGTTAATAATATCTAAATATTTTTGAAAAATATTTTTTACATATATTGATTTATAAATAAACATTGTAATGAATCAGTTTAATTTCAGTCTCTTCTTCACACAAAAATATTCTAGGACTTCAGAAGGTGTGGAATATAGAGTTAATAATAAATAAATATTTATAAATAAACAATTTATAAATTAAACATATAATACATATTATACATATATTTATAAATAATCAATTTTTATAAATAAAATGTTCATTTTTGAACGAACTATCCCTTTAAGAATGATGATTCACATCCAGGCCACACTTACCCTTCCGTGATTGACAGCAGCCTTCCCCTCCTCACTTATCGCGTCCATTTCGTCATCACTCCACTCCCAGTCTCCATCCTCGGTCTTGTGCAGATGACCACTCGACCCTGGAACCCTTCTGACCTGCGGCAGTGAACGGGACACACCGTCAAACTCACAATAGTGTGTACACAGCAGTGACTCCACACTTTTCCAGCAGACTTGGTGCTGAAAGTATGTTCTCATTCGTTTTCTCCATAAGCGTTTCAAAATATTTTTAGAGTTTTGGAACCAAACTAATTGCAAATGACATTTATATCAGCTGAAATCATGCAGACTTGTTTCTACAGAAGAATAGATGTTTACCATCTTCAGAGCTCATGCCAGGTCCAACTTGGTATGTTTACAAATGATTGTTAAAAATCAATTTCTCTATGGAGGAAATGAATGGCATTTGTACTTTCGGAAGCCTACTGTTGTGCTCTACAGCGTCCCGCTTCGGAGTGTGTCAGATATAGTCTGTGCTGAACTTACAGGGCTTATTTCTCTGGGTCAGTGAAGTGAGCTTTAATTCATCTCCCGGCCCTAACTTCAACAAAAAGGCCAGCTTTTTTTGAGGCCTGCTCAGTGTCTGTACCCAGTGCTGAAATATTCCACTATCTGCTCTTTTCAGCAGGACACATCTTTCAAAACATGCTAAAGTTTAATCTGGCCAACAAGATCTCAATGTGCATTGAAGTACGGCAAATCAGGGGATCAGCTCAACTTCTGAAACCATGCAATTCTGCTCAACAACATCCCTAAATTCATGTCACTTAGACAAGCCTTTTCTCAGTCTGGCAAGCTCTAATCTGATCGGCTGGCTTTACACAATTTCCGAGAATAAGAGCACACTGGTTTTACTATCCGTCCAACAGGAAATCAGTTCATGTCTACAATGTACCAGGTTGACAAGATGAACACTGGTCACTTGCTAAAGTTTGCCAAATTAGTGATATCAAAACTTCGAAAGATGCTTGTTAGTAGCATGTGAACTGATGTGAAATAAATTCTTAAAAATATATATTTATATTGAAAATAATGTTTCTTATGACAATTTTCAAAGTTATGTAAATTTGATAGATTTGATACATTACTTATATTTTTTATTATATGCATACTGTATATAATATTTATTAGGTATTATTTATATTCACAATATACACATTTTAATGGATAAATAACTAAAAATACTAATATAAGAATAATGTTTATCACAATGTTCAAAGTAATGAAAATTTGATACATTTGTATTTTTATTTTTTAAAAATGATTACAAATATACCTATTTTAATAATTAAAAATGGCTCCTTCTGGGAGGGGGAGGTAATGTCACACCCCTGGACTGTCTGTGTTGTGTTTTGCTCCCCATGTTCTCCCCGTGACCAAGTTTCTCCCTCGTGTTTCATCATTGCCTTATTTGGTTCTTCCTGTTCCCGTTCCCATTGTGTTTCATTGATTCCAGGTGTGTCTCGTTATCCCCTCGTTCAGTCTGTATATAAAGTGTGCTCTGCCCCTTGTTTCCTGTCCGGTATTGTTCGTCTATCCCGTGCTACGTGTGCGTTCCTGTGAATGTTTAAAGACTCTTTTGATTATAATTCTCCTGTCAAATCCACATTATTATTCTATAGTTTGGGTTAAACAAATCAATTTTGCTTGGTTGGAACAGTAGCTACGCTAATTATGTCTCTATTTGTTTCTCTGTTTCTGCCACGGGATGTAACAAGGATTTACACAAGCTTCGGTGTGGATCCAGAACACCTGAGAAGAGATGATGCCAACCCCTCAGAGGACCTCAGATGATGCCAACAGATGATGTTTACACCTGGTCACTTCATGCATTTTGTCTGATCGGATAGCTAGCCAATCGTGAAAAGGCCAGGAGTAAATGCCCTCCAAAATGCATTTGAGACGGATATAGAGACGTTCACCGTTCCTGGCTGGTGGAATGATCTTCCCACCCCTATCCGGAATGCTGAATCCCTAACAAACGCAGACGGTCAACACACAATCATCTTCATTAAAAGTAGTAAGACAAACTTATCTTTCCAGTGCTCTCCTATTGCGGTCATTGATCTTGACATGAGCTAATAATTAATAAAATCCAGCGCTTATCTTTTGATTTCATTGACGTGAACTCCGTTCAATTTAAATATAGCGCGGGAATTGAAGATCGGATTTATATCCGTTTTGCGACAACACATTTATGTGGCCAAGTTTAAATGGAAACGTTTTAACAAATCAGATAGATCCGATCAGCAAAAACGCATGAAATGACCAGGCGTAAACAGGCCCTAAGTGTGAGGTTCAAAAGTCTGGTACTACACGAGACTATTAAGAGTTACAGCTAGTTCCATCCATTTAATCCCAGAACCGGCGATAACTATATCAAAAAAGGCACAGAAGACCTTAAATCAACTGGATGTCTGTGAAATATGAGGCACTAGACTGTGGAGATCAGACAGCGTCCAATCAATGACACTTTCTGAAGTTTGCTCTCTTCTGAGAGGCTATTGACAAAATCATATTGGCCTGATCGAGAAACTCAGTCGATCCGCAACATATACATCCAGCTGCCCCGTCCTGACACACAGACACACTGTCTTCCAGGAGATTTACTCTGCTTCCAGTTCAAGACGAGAGGTGAAACATGGCACACACACACACACATCTGGAGGCGAGAAGCACTAAGTAAGCGTTCTGCGAGTGAGATAACATGTACCCGTTTCCCAGCATCCTCTGTGTGCTGATTCCTCTGCTCGGGATCCTTCAAAATAACACACAGACAAACAAAGCAACAAATAAGCATCAGCGCATGATGACAAACTGCACCTGCGGGCTGTGTGCTTACGAATAATACGAGTGGGTCAGCGGCACAGAGCGCTCAAACACACACTCGCTGTCATTTACGGACATTATGTAAGCTCAAATAGCCAGTGGTAAATTGCGCTCTTAGAAAATGTAATGCGCAATCGAGTGTTGTGATGCAGACATTCAATTACAAAAACAAATCATTACAATGCTGAAAGAGAAAGACAAAAGAACATCTTTAGAAATAATATTTTAAAAAACTAAATGTATTCAGAAAATGTATTTCTGCATTAATTATTTATAATTGTAGTTTTTTTAGGGCCAATGGCACAAATTCTTTTGCTCAGGCAAATTCAAAAATTAAACTAGGCCTAAATAAAATAAAATTGAATCACTTCAATGTTCACAATACATAAATCCTTATTATATACAGTGCCTTCCAAAAGTTTGGGATCAGTAAGATTTGTAATGTTTTTTAAAGAAGTTTCTTATGTTCAGAGGCTGCATTTATTTGACCAAACATACAGAAAAAACTGTAATTTTGTGAAATATTATTGCAATTTAAAATAGCTGTATATACAATATACACTACTATTCAAAAGTTTGGGGTCAGTAATTTTTTTTTCTTTTTCTTTTTTAAAAGAAATTAATACTTTTATTCAGCAAGGATGTGTTAAATGGATACAAAGTGATAGTAAAGACTTATATTGTTAGAAAAGATTTCTATTTTAAATAAATGCTGTTCTTTTTAGCTTTTTATTCAGAGAATAAAAGAAAAAAGTATCACAGTTTCCAAAAAAATATGAAGCAGCACAACAGTTTCAACACTGATGATAAATCAGCATATTAGAATGATTTCTGAAGAATCATGTGACACTAAAGACAGGAGTAATGATGCTGAAAATTCAGCGCTGCATCACAGAAATAAATTATATTTTAAAGTATATGAAAATAGGAAATCCATATTAGAAATTGCAATAATATTTCACAATATTAATGTTTTTTCTGTATTTTATCATCATATTCTGTTTTTTATTATCAAATAAATGCAGCCTTGATGAGCATAAGAGACTCCATTAAAAATCATAAATCACCAAAGAACATCTTTAGAAATTATTTTAAGTAGGCCTATCCAAATGTATTCATCTTTATTTCTGCTCTACTGTATACATACATCATATGCTTTGGCAGTACAGTAAATGTTTATAGTCGTGTCACTAAAGCTTTGTTCACTGAAATGAGAAGAGAGAAATAAAGACAGTTTTATAGCTAGATATTCTGATTTATATCTTTAATTCAGTACCAGGTATAACTCAATAACAAGGGATTATTAAAATTTCAGCTGAAAATAATTCAAAATAATGTGCTCCAGCATGAGAGTCAACAGCAGAGACGCTGCGAGGAACAAAGCAGCAAGCTGCTCTGCCCCCTACTGGACACAAACCACAAACACTCAACTTCACCAGACACACACATGAATTACACAGATGAAAAACATCTCATATATTATTACAGGTATAAGTGAAGACATATATTACACCTTATCTATGGTCAAAATGACACAATCTTGACTCCTTTCAACTATCACAGGTTTGTACCAAGAAGGTCAAGGTATATGTGATGGCAGAAATTACAGGATACAATCTAGTATAAAATAATCAAGATGTTCATGCATAAAATTCTAATTTATCTCTCTGTCTGTCTGTCTGTCTATCTATCTCTCTATCTAATTAGTGCTGTCAAATGATTAATCGTGATTAATCGCATCCAAAATAAAAGTTTTTGTTTACATAATATATGTGTATACTGTGTATATTTATTATGTATATATAAATACAAACACATGCATGTGTATATACAGGTGCATCTCAATAAATTAGAATGTCGTGGAAAAGTTAATTTATTTCAGTAATTCAACTCAAATTGTGAAACTCGTGTATTAAATAAATTCAATGCACACAGACTGAAGTAGTTTAAGTCTTTGGTTCTTTTAATTGTGATGGTTTTGGCTCACATATTCATTCAAAAAGGATCAATAAATAAACCCTCATGCAAATTCATATTATAATAATTATAATATTATAATTAATATTACACAGACAGACAGACAGACAGACAGACAGACAGACAGATAGATAGATAGATAGATAGATAGATAGATAGATAAATAGACAGACAGACAGACAGACAGACAGATAAATCGCGATTAATCGCATCCAAAAAAATAGTTTTTGTTTACATAATATGTGTCTCACTAAAAGGCTGAAATCATTCAAAAAGGATAAATTAATAAACCCTAATGCAAATTCATATTATAATAATTATAATATTATAATTAATATTACACAGACAGACAGATACACACATACATACGAAAAATTATTCAAAGTGTATGGGAAACATTTCTAATGATGCTGTCTTTAGAAAACTCAAAGGCCAAATAAAGAACACATTAAAGTCGTCATATTGTTCAACATTAAAATTAATTCACAAACATATTGATGTGGAAAAAAAAATCTGGAAAAATCACTTGACCTCTGGTCATAAATGATTCTCTTAATCGTTAACTCTTAATTTAAGTATTAATTAAGTAACTCTGTAATTTCTGTACACAGCAATTTTCACAAGCAACTGGTACATTTTCAAAACTCTTAGTACTAATATCCCAACAGATCATCAAGGGGAGACAGTATAAAACCCATTACTCCTATGGAATGAACCATAATGATAGGAAAACCTGTGTGTGTGTGTGTACCTACTTACTGTAATATTTTGGGGACAAATTGGTACCCAGATGTAAGAAAATCCAACGCTCTCCATTGACTGTCTATTGCGGGAAGCTGCCTCCTTGTCATCTCTGACTTATAACAAAAAACAGAGCAATGCCTAAAAGCTGCTATGTGACAAGGTGTACAGTAAACAAGCTAAAAAAGCCAGAACTACGTTTTTGTAAGCTGTCGACCCAAAAAACGAGCGTTTAGGACACAAATAGCTGTAGATGTCTGGGTATTTCACGTTGGGCCATTCATTTGGATCATTTCTCAAACAAAAGGAAGGGGCACTGACCAATAAAATTTGTTTCTTAAAGGGGTGGTTGATTGCGATTTCACTTTTTCAATGTTAGTTAGTGTGTAATGTTGCTGTTTGAGCATAAACAATATCTGCAAAGTTACGAAGCTGAAAGTTCAATGCAAACGGAGATATCGTCTTTTAAAATTCTGGCAGTTTAATGCCTACAAAAACAACTGGTAAGGGACTACAACGAGTTACTTCCCAGGTCCGTTACGTCAAGAACCCAGAATTTTACATAAACCCCCCCTCCGGGAACACGCAGCAAAGGGGGCGAGGCCATGCTGCGCTGCTTTAGAGAAGAGGAAGAGAACTAGAGGTGCACGTAAAAATCTGTTCATATATGAATTGCGATTCTGTCTTCTTTACTATAACTCACCCTTCATCTGAAAAATTCAGCTAGAATATAGATTCAGTGATATGGCACAGTGAGGATATTTACTGCATTGACAGTAAACTCTGTTCTAGCACAAAACCTTATGGCCATGTCATACCTTCATCACACCTTTTGTGATAAATACCTTTGCAAACATTATTGATTTTATGTGAGATATGCAAGTTAGGTAATGTCGTACCGTACTGAGCCGTGCCGAGCCGAGTCGTACCACACAGTGGAAAAGCGCCACTGGAATTGTTTGCTCTTGAATGAACTGATTGTTAAAAGAACTAAATTGAAAGAAGATCATACTGTTGTGTTTTGGCGATTAATTCAAATGTTCTCAATACATATCACAACGATCTTGTGTTTTGAAACAATGATGAAAATATGCGCAACTACAATGAAATCATGAGATCAGGTTTTGAAAGAATGGCTAGTGGTGTTACAAGTGTGATCGGGTTAAAGGTTTGTACTAAGAGTTTTGAAAATGTACACCTTACTTGAGAAAATAGTACCAAACCAATTTTAAAAAGCTGTAAAACAGTATTTATTATTTTAATCTTTATCGTTAATTATTTTAAGTATAATATTTTCAAATAATTGTTTTAAAGCATAAAACTCACTCAGTTTAGTTAAATTTATGCTTGAAACAAGAAAGCTGCCTATTGGGTTTAGATAAATCATTAATTTAAAATTAACTCTCTGTAAAAAGGTCTTAACTTTTTGCAATTTTGCTTTAATCACTGTTAGTGTGAACGTCCCTTACAGCGGTTTGTTAACACGGTTTCAGCTGATGAGCTTCACTACTGCACCATCCCACTAACGACTCCAATATCCCCACCTAGGTGCTGCAAATAACGTTTCAGATGTATTATATATATATATATATATATATATATATAAAAGAGTTATTTTAGTTATTTATATAATAATAATAATAATAATAATAATAATAATAATAAGTCATTTAAAAAACCTTTCAATAAAATACACATAAATAGAAATAAAATAGAATGTAAACAAATAAAAACCTTTACCTTATTTTATGTATCTTTTTCATTTTTTGTTTATCTTGATTCTGAAATGTTACTAAAATAACTAAAACTCAAATAAAAAAATTAAATAGACATTAAAAGAAAACGAATAAAAACAAAAAACTCAATTACTAAAACAAATTACTGTAATACTATAATTACTGTAATTAAAATGAAAACAAAAAATATTAAAATAACTATTTATACATATTGATACCAAAACTACACTGTGTATGTGTGTATGGCGTAAAAAGTATTTTTTATTAAAAATAACATTCAAAATGTTTAATTCAAACAAATACAATAAAATAAAATAAAATAATCAAGGCTTTTTTAACTAAATGAACATAATATTTAGTAAGTTTCATTCACAAGTTAACCATTAATATGCACTAATATTACACTACTAATTAATAATGCATATATTATTTTTATGAAAACACTTTAAAGAGATTTCCATGACCAATTTTGAGTAATTATGCAAATTATTGAATTGTTGAGTTTAGACTCAATTCAATAAAATGACAGTTTGAACTGAGTCATGGAAATGACTCAAACTTAAACTAAAAGTAATACGTTTAAAATATTAACTAATGATAACAAACTAATAAATTAATACATTTAAATCAGAGATGCTATTAAAACATCTAATGACTTGCAAGACAAGGATTGCAGACTTAACCTAATGGCACAGTCTTTTGCAAACTGAATGTGCAAATAAAAAGCAATATTCACAATGTTTATATCACCAGCAAAATCTCTGTCAATATTCTATATATGCACAGCATATTTCCCTCAGTCTGTCAGCTGCACCTCAACACAACACCAGCAAACCCACATTTGCAAACACCAACATCCCCCCATCATTTCAGCCCATCAATGTCACAGCCTCCACAGGGACATTCTGTACTCCTCCTAAATGGATGGATGTGTGCAGCTCTTTAGCCGAAATGGCGGCATTTCTCTCATTCATTTAGTGGCTGGAGGTGTGGGGAGCTGATAGCCGACCCATAAGCACTATTACACATGTGGCCTGCATGCAAACGGCTGTTTAAACGCAGTGCCCTGTTGCCTGCATTAAAGCCCATTTTTCTTCACAGCTCATCAGAGCTCAGACACATTAGGTGTCTGCTAAAGGAATGAACTGAAACAATGACTTAAATTCAGCGTGAATGAGTTTCACACCACCTGCTTAGTAAGGAAACACACCACAAAATTAAAATTTAGAGGGGAGGGTCTATATCTGCATATTGATGAAGCATAAAACATGTAAAGAACAAAACATGATACAGACAGACAGACAGACAGAGAGACAGAGAGACAGACAGACAGACAGATAGATAGATAGATAGATAGAACAATGAAATGATAGACAGAATGATAGAACGATGGAACAGTAGATTGTTACAATGATAAGAGAGTGTTAGAACATTAGAATGTTAGATAGAATGTTAAAATGATAGATAGAGCGACAGATAGAATGCTAGATAGAATGACAGACAGACAGACAGACAGATAGACAGATAGATAGATAGATAGATAGATAGATAGATAAAACAATGGATAGACAGACAAGATAGATAGATAGATAGATAGATAGATAGATAGACAGACAGACAGACAGACAGACAGA